AAATCGTAATTTTTTTAATTAAAAATAATTAAAAATATAAAAAAAAATTATATATTTATTTCTAAAATAAATTTCGATTAATTGTTTGTGATTTCGATTATCCAAATATAGGAACCAAAATTGAATCGTCTGTGACCCGTTTCGGTTCGATTCGGAACCATCGAACCGGTTTATCCAATTCTAATATAATTTATTAGTCAAATTACATATTAATTTTAGATTGATTTTAAATCGAAAAAAACTTTTTTTTTTCTCGTAAAATATTATCTTTAAATTAATAATCAATTATTAGCTCTTATATGTCTAATAATTTAATGTGGGTGGCGGCAGCACTACACCGATTAAGAATTGAGTGCTTATGTGAAGAAAGTGGAAGGAAACTTCATTGCCACCCATCGATCGACGAGAGGGGACCGATGGCTTTACATGCACGCATTACTACTACGTGGTGTCATCCATATGAATAAGATCATAGGATTCATCTGATGTGCATCGATCCAAAGTGGGCATTTCACACCGAAAATAATGGAATGTAAATTTATGTATATATATATATATATATAGGTTGACGATGTGGCACATCTCTATTGGTTGGGTCTACGATTTTGACTCGACGTGGCTGACCAATCTGGCGAGCACGCAGCGTACGGAAGAATGAGATCCCAGTTTGGTGGAGCCCTGCGTACGTGGACGCACCTAATTTGACAGCCCGCTTGCTGAGCTAATGAACTCACCGAACGCCACCATACGAAGCGAGCGTCAAAGCGTCACACGTCACTTTTGGCTCCTACAGTAATTTACTATTTTGCCCCCCCCCCACCCCCACAGCACTAGCGATTTCGGTGCGCACACGCACCGACCGACCGCCGACCAGGTTGCGCCGGGTACCGTATGCTTGGGGAACCCAGACGAGTAGCCGAGTGGAGCCCACCAGCTCCACCCCCCCCCCCCGCCCCCCTGCGGCCTATATAAGCTGACCCCATTCGCCTCACTGCTTGCCATCCCAGACCGAAGCTTCCTGCTTCCTCGTTAACGGCGGCTGAGACCCACAGGTCACCACCGAAGCTGGCGAACGGCAGCCGAGTAGCGGAGAGCCCGGAAGGGACGGTGCGAGACTTGTATGAGGCCATCAACGGGCGGGACGTGGGGAGGCTGCACCAGCTGCTGGCGCCGGACCTGGAGTGGTGGTTTCATGGCCAGCCGGAGCACCAGCACCTGAAGCGCCTCCTCACCGGCGAGGCGGAGTATATCGCCTTCGAGTTCGAGCCGCAGGAGGTGGCGTCCTTCGGCTCCACCGTGGTGGCCGAGGGGTGCAGCCCCGGCGCGGTGTGGGTCCACGCCTGGACAGTCGACCCGGAGGGGGTGATCACCCAGGTGCGGGAGTACTTCAACACCTCCCTCACCGTCACCCGCCTCGGAGGCGACTCGGCCCTCTCCTCCCCCGCCTCCTCCTCCTCCAAGGACTCTGCCGGATCGACTCAATGCCTGCCCGTGTGGGAGAGCCGACTACACCAGCGAGCCCGGAAATCACTTCCTGGCCTCGTACTAGCAATATAATCTCATTGTCTTTGGATAAGGGTTAGGGTTTATGTTTGCAGCTCTGCTGGTGTTGGGTTTGGATGTGTGTGTGTGTGTGATCACAATAGTTCTTCTCTGTGGCTCTTTTTCTTTGTTTGATGTATCCTTTTTAATAGCTGAGTAAAACAATGCATGCTAGTTTTTAATATTCAGTTTTTTAAGCTAAACTTGAGTCAATTAATATTGGGAGCCCCAAAATCAAGACAATATTCAGAGATTAATAATTAAAAATCGATATAAGATTTCATATGACTTGTCGACTATTGTCGACATCCAAAGTAAAAAATCAAATTCTTCGTAACAAGACATTCGAATCATCGACCTTCTCTTATAAATCAAATTCTTCGTAACAAGACATTCGAATCATCGACCTTCTCTTATAAACTCAAAATCATCTTCACTCAAGCAAAAGACCTTCTCTCATAAACTTAAAAGAATTTATACTTTTTCTCTCTATTTATTTAGAAATATTGTAAAAAAAAAACACAAAGTATTCCTCACTTTTTACTCTCCTCTTTAATATACATATGATATTTATAAAAGAATCAAACTCTATGATTCATTATTCTCTTGTGACATTGGACGATATCTTTAGTTAAATTTAAAATAAAAATATTTATCGAGAGGGAACTCCGAATTATTATATATAATAAATTCCATACTTTATTATCAGTCGAGAATTTCTGATGTTAAAAAAAGAAAGAAAACATATGGATATTGGACTTGTATGTGGATAATATTGTCATCCCACCCACAAAGCATATTTATATACGAAGCCCATAATATCAATATATGTTGTGCGGATCATATTCTTTGATGATCAGAAGTCCCTTGTGATTTGGGGGAGGAGCGAATCAGTGGTGGATGCTACGAGCATGATATGTAAGGCAATCCTTCGTCCATTTGAACCTATCGATCGCTTGACTCTCACATCACACACACCTCCATCCCTGATAAGAAGATGCTATCAGCTGCTGCAGATGACCGACGCGGATACGAACAATATGCATGTTGGTATTCCTCTCGAAGTGTGCTTCCACTCTCCCACTGGCACATATATGCGTTTCACATCCATGAAAGAATCAAGAAGGAAGCAAAGAGGAAGAAGATGCTGTAATCTTCATGATCAACTCTCAACGCGAGCTCCGAGAATATGTTCTTGATCTTGTCTTAGACATATCAATTCACTGCAGGCCAAAGAGCATCATGACAACCAAGTTGTTCCCGATGTCACTTGTTTAGGAATCACATATATGTCATATATAATAAGGCTGTGTCTGTCCGTGTATCCACATCACAAGGAAGCAGTACGTCTCTACCTACTGCTGTACCATTATGATCACAATCAAACAGACACAATCACTCTCGTTACCTAAAAGCTTAGGTAATGTGGCAGTCATACCTAAGGGATGACCGAAAAGGGCAAGAGGATAGCCTTATTTGCATGCCCACCAGAAGGCACACTCGAACAAGACAACAGGATGCACCTGAAAACCCTACAACACCATTTGATGTGCAATTAGGTCTCTCTGATTTGTTTTGTCTGGAAACCTAAGAGCAACATATTCTCAAGAACATCACCTTGGCCATTAAAATATGCGTTTGAGAGAGAGAGAGAGAGAAGCAATCATTGAGAAATATTTTATCCTTAGTCTATAAATCTAGATTGCTTGTCTCCATAACTCTTAGTCGTCACTGTAATGAATACTGGATTCCGGGACCATATTCACCTATAAATATCATGTTGGATTGATCCAAGAGTTATGGTCAAAATAGGTTCTATAAAAGAATGCACAGTATTAGCTGTAAACCTTCAACATACATGCAAACCACCTCTTGTCGATTGCTTGAGTCCTCTCTCTCTCTTCTATCTCTGGCACTAGGATCGAACTTTCCTTGATGATTCAGTTTGCTTTCACCATTTGGATGCTTACTTTATTCCCACTACTTGAGCAATTATGGGATTTGTTTTTTGTTGGAAAAATAGTGGATATTAAGAAATCATTATAGAGTGACGAGAGAGCATAATAAAGGAGAAGATAGAACACGGTTTGCAATAGAGAAACAAAGTGATGCGTAGTTTGCAATCTGAGAGACCAAAAAACGTGTTCATATGACAGGATAAGAACACAGTTCCGATTCCTTGTTGAAGAACACGGTTCTGTACAACTTGGCATTGATGGTTGAAGCACCATCCCATACATACGATTGCAGAAGGTACATTCCTCTTACATCTTCCCTTCACGAGTCTTCGCAGATGCTCTCGAGATGCGGTCGCCAGACTCCGACCCGGCCGTTTCGGCGGCGACGATGTACGGATCTCTTCTCCGAGAGGATCCCGGTCGGATAATTATCGTCGCTCTGTGACCTGGTCACGGGCGACGCGGTGTACCGGCTCCTCTTCTTCTGCTCCGGCAACGTCGAGGCGGGCACGAGGAAGTAGAAGTGGCCCCGCTTGAGCTCCGAGTCCGGCGACACGATCAGGATCTGACGCACGACGCTTTGGGAGCGTGGGTTGGTGAGGACGTGGTTGGGGTTCGCCGCCAGGACCTCCCTGGCGGAGACATGGCGGCTGTACTCCTCGACCTGGCCGTCGAGGTGGACGACGCGGACCACGTCGAGGGCACCGCACGGGAGGACGCAGGCCAAGCAACACCGGAGGCTGTTGCCCATCTCTCTCTCTCTCTCTCCTCCTCTTCCTTCGTTGGATGGCGGGACGACCATGGCTATTATAGGGAGTGGAACTGAGAAGGCAACTAGATCGCGTTGGAAGTCACGTCCTAAGCTTCGTTACGTGGGATTTCATGCACGCTATTGTAACGCGCATCAAAAGGTGAGCTGCTCATCTGACTACTAATTAAACATGGCAGCACTGTTTGACCTCATAAAATAATGAACACTTGTCTATATTGTTGGATCGTTGACCTTTTTTTTAGTTGACCATATTGGTGGATCCTTTTTATGATTTCTGCAATCGGACAGACAAAGTCAGTATTAATTTGTCTGTAATTTCTCACGCAAACACAAAAGTAGAGTTGATTCGAAAGATTTATATGCCTTCTCTCGTCCAAGAATGGTCAAAGTCAACGAGAGAGAGAGAGAGAGAGAGAGAGAGAGAGAGAGAGAGAGAGAGAGTGGAGGGAGACAACACAAATCACTAATTTGAGGATCCGATGTTGTTACTGATTTAGATGTTATCCATATGCCGAGTCTCGATTGATGGTAAATGTGTTTGATTAGGTAAAAGATTTTGACAGTTCATCGTAAGATTATAGATTTAAATTCTACTTATTTTTTGGAAAAAAATAAATAAAAAAACCTCTATTAAGATTAAAACGGAGCCATTAATCATAAGGGATTAGTGGTTTACACAAATCCAACCCCATCTCTCTTTATATGACTATACTTCTTGATTACATGTCGTGAAGACGAGATATTCTTTATATTACAGCAATCTATTTATTGTACACTACAATGATAAGATATGTACACACAGAACACATAAACATACACACGAACAAGTAGGGGAGGGAAGAACATGAAGACTATACGACGACCCGTCTCTCACAAAATACTCAAGAGAACTGAGTCATTCTATCAAACAGAAGAAGAAGAAGGAATCTTCTCATGATTACCATATGTTCGGGCTTGAAAGGAAGTCCCCGTAAGAGACCCCAAACTCTGAAGTCTCTATGGCCTCCTCCGGGCCTTTGTCCTGGTCATCAACCCATGGCCATAGAAGACTGTCCTTACAGTCGAAAGGATTTTCCTCGGTGCGCCACAAAGACCCTAACGTTGTAGCATCTGGATTCTGGAAGCCCGACGACATGCCTGAAGGACTAAAGCATTGCCAGTTCGTATCTGCATGGACAGTACCAAACTGATCGTGAACATTGACTTCGGTATCATCACCCATCAACCTCAACATCTCCTCGACGGAGAATTCATCCTCGGGTGCATCTGTCTGATCTCCATACTGACAAACCCCCATGTTTGAAGCATCAGCTGTCGATGAAGGCTCCTTGTCACATCCCGCCTCACCTTTTAGTTCCTCGTCGTCTAATTCGGCCTTGGGAAAATGAACTTTATCTTTCGGTTCGATGCTTGGAACTTTGATGTGACCAGTGCTGGAGACGGAGGCATTGATAGCATCAGAATGATGTGAAGTCGTAGTTGATTCACATGACTTGCTCATCACAGCTCCAGGTAGATTGACACGGGCCAAACTGCCATACATCGCTCTTGCTGCATCATCATAAGCAAGAGCAGCTTCGGTAGCAGTTGGGAAGGTTCCCAACCAAAGGCGGCCACCCCGGTTTGGTTCTCGGATCTCAGCGACCCACTTGCCCCAGGTGCGCTGTCTTACACCACGATATCTGCAACTAGGATTTTCTGGACCTCCTTTGCCTCTCATGCAACCTTTCTTTGAACCTCTTGCAGGTGGTTTCCGGATTGGCTTTTCACCATCCATGGAACAGTCAAGCTGGCAACCATGCTCTTTCCACCGAGCAATCGTCTCCGCCACGGTATGAGAGCCATTCCTCCCTCTGCGTACTCTCTTTTTCCTGAAAGAAGCAAAAAACAAACAAATTAGCGCTTGAACAGAACAGCAAGAAACTAAAAATAAACAATAAACAAAACCAGAAGGAAACTGATAACTAATGAAGATAAATATATCATCTTCAACATGAGAAAATCATTCGGATGCAAATCAAAGCACCTGACCATTCGCCTACCAAGAATGTAAATAAATAAAGCAGGTGGGTTAGTAAGGAATTTTGATTCCCATGCCAAAACTCCAGAATTCGTGGAAAAATATGAAAGCACATTCAACAAGCAAAATATAGCATCTGGCACAGGTGAATGGCCACATACAAACGGCTTGAAGTTTTGAATTTTAGAAGTGTCTTGGGAGTAATATACATCCAAAATACAATAGTTTTTCCTGTTGTCTTATAACTTATGTCTGGATTAGGAGATGAAAACCAATGTGACTACTCATGTAATAGGATTTGTAACGACTGCTTTGGAATTAAAGAAACAGGCATTTTCAATATCATACCTAGATACTCCACGGAATTAATGCAAGCAATCACCTGGCGCGCCCCAACTCTACTTCAGCAGAAAAGATCATAAGACAAGTGCAGAAAAATAAGTACAGAATGAGATTTGGAAAAAATAACCATAAAGAGCATAAATTAAGAGATTTTTTTCAACTACTTGAAAATCATTCAATCAACTCACTGAAAACAACAAAACAAATTCCAAAAGCAAACAGAAAAATCTAGGACCATGACTTCAGCCATGAATTTCTTCAAGTCAGGAGAATGTGACCACCAAAAACAAAGCTCCTATAGTCTCGACATCATTATTTCACCCTGACAACAGGTTTTTACTAATTTTCCGATTCTCAAAAGAAAGGATGAATCAGTCAGAATCCAGATTTCCAGTATATAAGCTACAAAGCTTGGGTCCTACAATCTAGAGAACAAACACAGTGATGCAGTTCAAATCAGCTTAGATTAATGACCTCCAACTCACCCACTCGAAAGGTTCAAGCCAAAGTGAGCGACGATATCTCACAATGCCCATTTCTTTAAAGGATGAAGTTCAAAGAGACTCCAGCAAACTTAAACGAGAAAAATATTATGGTGGGCAATCTCATACCAGTTTGTCCAGGAGCTCTCTCTAAAATTCTAATTGGAAGGTAGTGAGAAATTTTCCCATGAAAATGGTACCCGTAGATCCCACAATTGGTCTACTCTCAAGATCAAAGCCCTTCAACTTTAAGCTCAAGAAAAAATTTCCCATGATCGATTTTAAGCCTGTGTTGACCCTAGAAAATAACAAGCCAGTATCATACTATTGGACAACAAAAGCCTCAATAGCTTATCCCAAGACGCCTCAAGCGTAACATGTAATGCTTAAAAGTCCTCAACAACTACTAACTAGAAAACCCCTTTGGTAAAGCCAGGTCCAAGTTTTCCAAAGAAATTTTACCAAGGATGGTCATCTACTTGCTTCCCTCGAATCACCTTTGCAAGCGAGGACGAACCAAGGGAGGAAATCCAATGATTTTCAAAAAATTCACAAGAAACCATCAGCTACATATGACCAATTCGTGGTGGTTCCAAATTCTAAAAAACCATGGGATGCAACAATCATTTTGTGTTCCATTCAATCATGGCTTCAGTTCATCCCTGTAGCACCAAAATTACTTACTTGGCATATCTTTCAACCTGTTCATAATCTCCCTTAGGGAAGCAAGACCGTATTTCCTAGACATAGTGAAATAAAGAGCCAATTGTAAGACGTTTCTATTCCTCATATAAAACCTTAATAAAAATCACTCAATAGAAACAACCGAACATGTTCACCATAACCTGTAGTGCCAATCTTTGGTTTTTGTATCATGAACCGAAACCAAAGCCAGAATTCAAACCAATTCTCCATTAGCAGCATGCTACAGTTACCCCACATTGACCTCGAAACCCCTTCTGCACTGCAACGTTCTGATCCGAAAGAATTCCAGATCAACCAAAGGCATTGGTTCCAAGCATAGACTTGCTGGAACCCAATACATACTAAGCCCATTTCCAACGGCTTAAACTTTTGATATTTCTTAATTATCCAATCAAAACTTTTATCATGGTTATCAGAGCAGGTTGTAAGTTCTTCAAACTATTTACGCATGCACATGGATTGACTCTCATGTGATAAGCCTCATCTAGTTCTGCACATGAAAGAGGATGTTGGAACCTAATACATATTTCGCCCTTTCCTAACAGCTTCAAATTTTCGGATTTGTGATTACCCAATCAAAATCTTTATCAGGATTCGAGTTAAAAGAGCAATCAATTGTTACACTAACTAGAAAATGAGAAAGATCCAGTTTGTACCTACCTCACACGCCCCCTTAATTCCTCTCGGACGATTCTAACTCCTAGAGAAGCAAAGCCCTAATTTCTAGACCCAAACTGAATCCGAGAGCCAAAATCCAAAACCTCCGAAGCTTCACACGCGTCAATCACCCTACCCTAAAACAAAACAAATTTTTGCATTCGATTTCTTTATTGCCCCTACCGCAAGGAAAAGATGGCTAGATTTTTGCTCCAGCTAAAGAGAAATATCACATCAAAACCTCAAATCTGTTAAAAAATGAATTTTGAGATGAAGAATCGTCGAAATCGAGAGAAGAAATCGACGCTAACCAAGAAAAACCGAAACAGCAATCAACAATTGACGTAAGGATTCTCCCTTTACCTATCGGACTCCATCGTCATCTCCTCCTGCTGCTGCTTCTCGGATTACGGCTCGAATCCCTCAACCTTAGCGATCTCGAGTTGCTTCGTACTTCTCTCTTCTCGTTTCTTAGAATCGGAGGGAGAACTCGGATGAGACACCGAGATATTTGTAGGAAGGTCGGGAATCTCGAGACGCGTCACGAGGTAAAACGTCGGATTCGAAACACGTGTTGGCGGAAGCTTCGGGAAAGGTCTGGTGCCTTCCCTCAACGGCATATCTCTTCGATGTAGCCGTACACGTAGACGGTCAATGAGAGTTATATCAGATTTGTGAGACGAAAGCCGTGCGATCTCGGACAAACGGTCAGGATTGCTTGATGGGGGCAAAGGAAAGACTACGTCGACGAACAATGGATAACGATTGGGACTCGAATTAGGAATTTTCGGGGACAATGCATGTCGATCCCAATTTGTTGGAATAAGAAATATTTCTGGGATTAGCAATGAAATTTTTATTTTTATTGCTTTTGTTTGAGAAGTTAATAATGAGGTTATTTGGGATATGAATTTTTTTTTTTCACTTCCAAACAGAAAAAGATGCCTTCAATCACAAATTACCAAATATCACTTTTTTTTCCAAGAAAAAGAAAGATATTCCTAGTGAGATAAAACATCTATTCATATTACCAATGAATTAATTTTTTTAATTTAACCATTCATTTAAGGATAGAGATTTATAGAGAAGTATTACTTATGTCAAAATAATTTAATCGTATCAAAAATCATATGTTTCGATTGCTGATAATATTGTTCAGAAATCCTTAATACACACTCTTCATCATTAACTTGATTGCCTCCTTGATTAAGTAGTATAGGGGTACAACAATGAATGTTGTATATTTTAAAAATTGATCGACCACCACAAGTGCCAATCCAAGTCCTCTTATTGCTTACAAGTTTGATATAAAGTCCAAGAAAATACTATCACGGCCTTTCTGGCATAGGCAATGACTCCAAAAGTTCTATTGGCTTTCATTGTTTTACCTTATTTTGTTGGCAAATAAGACACATTCGAACATATTCCTCTACGTCAGTCCTATCTTTGGTTAAGACCCTCTCTATGAGAACTAATATTCGGTGAATATACGTAAATCTTGCCCAAAGGAAATTGTACATTTAATAGTTCACATCTTAAATTATCCACTCAGGAAATATAAGCTTTATTTTCTTTTTTTATATATGCTTGGATCCAAAATCATCATGTCTTACCTTCTTTATTCAGTTGCATCAGGGTTACTACTTGGAGATCACTGTATGGTCCATCCCTAATCCTTCAAAAAAATTAGAGTAGAGTTAACTTACATGGTCTTTGTCTTCCAATTGCACAACATTCACCAGCTCCACTTTTCTACTCAATGAATAGACCATGACATTTGCTTTTTCGAGCTTATACTCTATTGTCATATCAAATTTAATCAAGAAGACCTACTGTCATACTTGCTTTGGGGAGAGTTTCTTTTGAGTTTGTAAGTAACTCAATGAGATATTGTTTGTCTTTAGCATAAATTGTATTCCGAGGAGGTCGTAGATAATGGACCACTACTGTCATCTCCTATCATGCATTAGAGTGACTCTCCTACATAAGTACTCATCTAATAATAAAGTTCAAAACATTTGTATAGACTTCGAAAGGCTTCCTATAGTCTAACAATTTAAGTATTGATTCTTCTAGCACATTTGTCCGACTATCACCAAGGATGCTCCTTTTTCAGCAACTCTACCAATCGAGCTGCGCGCTTTGAGTATCCACATATAAAGTACTGATAATAATTGACGAAATCAAGGAAGGATCTCAGCTTTGATACCTTCTTTGGTGTTCGGCACTTGGCCACAATCTACACCTTCAAATTGTTTATCTAAATAGATCTTTATCGATTTGATGTTTTAAAAATAAAATCTTTATCTAAGCAAAGTAGCACTTCTCCCTTTTCACGAACAAAAATATTTTCTCTTAGAATCTTGAAAATTATTCAAAGGTGTCTGATATACTCCTAAAGAATTTGGCTGTAGACAACAATATTATCCAAGTAGATGATCATAAACTTATCCAAATACTCCTTAAACAATTGATTCATGAGAGTGTAAAAATATGATTGGAGTATTAGTTATACCAAAGGCATCACTAAGAACTCAAATGCTTCAAACCTGATCACACAAGTAGTCTTCGCTTCGTCAGCTTCAGTTATATGCATCTGTTAGTATCTCAACAAAAGGTCGAGTTTGGAGAAATACATTATCTTGCCCAATTGGTCGAGCAAGTCCACGATGAGCGAGATTAGATACTTGTTCTTTATCATTACTTAGTAGTTCATCAAGCTACTTCCTAAGCTTTGTCAACTCTGGAGGGGCCATACAGTATTGAGGTCTCAAAGGAGGCTTCACTTCCAACTCCAACTTGATGCAATTATCCACGCCTCTTCATGATAGTAGAGTTTTCAATAACTTAGGCAGCATAATGTTTGTAAATTCTTTCAAAACGTCTACTACTATAATAAGTTTGTGAGTGGCCTCCACATCAAATGGCTCTAGCCTTACTACAATCATAAAAATTAATTTGCTATTTTGCACTTCCTTTTTTAATTATAAAGCTGATATTTATTGTGAATCGTTCGTTCCTCCTCAAGAAATTAAAACCACTCAGGTGTCGTCGCCTCCCATCCAACATAGGGAGTTTAGGGATAACATTGACATCAACTTCACCGCATGCATTAACTTCATTCTAAGGATTACTTGGAAGACATCTAATGGTACCACCATCATATTTATTATTCCGCTTTATATCTCAATTTTGATAGAGACCCTCTTTGTCAGCTCAGAGATTTGCTTAGCTTCCAAGTTTACAATCTTCATCCAACTTGGGTTCTTCTCTAGGTTCAACCCAAGTCGTCTTGCTTCTTAGTCAGCAATGAAATTGTGAGTAACGTTTATGTCCATTATCGCACAGGTTGTTCGACCATTTGGCTTGATATCCATGTACATCAACTCGTTGTTTCCTGCTTTCTGTTACTTCTTTTCTATATTCTCTCCCACTTGACTTTGCAACACATTCAACAAACACATTGCTCTTATTCGAGGTCCTTGTAACTCCTCATCATCGCTATTGGATTTCAAACTACTTGAACCAAAAGCAATGACTTTACTCTTGTCCAATCTAAAGGGAGAGAACGATGCTATTAACTTATTAAGTGTTTACTTTTGTAAATACTCTCTCACTATATATGGTCCTTTGTTCAAGAAGCATACTTGTGCAACATAATCTTGGACATGGGTTGTTGGTGAACATTCATATCTTCCATCAATCGATCTACTCGGGATTCCACTTTTGTCTATTCGAGATTTAATCTTCTCTTTTCAGTTCTCTACCTCAAGAAATCACAAAAATCTTGTGAGGAATCAAAGTGGTGATTTGACTACCTCAGCAACTTGTCATTTGAGATGCCCATTAGTGGGAATCAAAGTGGCGATTTGACTGCCTCAGCAACTAGTCATTTGAGACCTGCACTTGATCACGGGAGAAGGGCAAGTTGGATGAATTATTGTTTTGACTTCTCCATCAGTTTGTTACTGTTCATCAACTTCACGAGCTAACTCAGGAAACAAAATCGCCAGAACGCCCGAGAGTCGAGAGTTCCATTTCCTGCAAAGCTCAGAAGAATAGAAATGGTCAAACGATACGAAGAACACTAATGAAAATTCTTTATTAATGCATGAATCCATGATTCGATGAAATGAGATCCAAAATTTGAATTACATTTTTCTCCACTCGAATCACTGAGTCAAAGTCACGATCATTTTTTGGTTGCTCTGTGGCAAAATACATGGACTTCACCCAAACAAAGATACATAGGAAAGAAAGGTATAAATTGTATCATACCGATATTTCGATCCGGCTCGATATGGTACAATGCCAATGTACCGAATAATATATCAAAACGTACCGAGTGATACACCCTGGTATATCAAACAATTTTATACTTTTTCATACTGTAACGGTACTACAGTATAATTACTGTAACGATACCAAACGATCCACGTACCGATAACCTGTCGAACCAATACATACCACCCGATACGGGCGATACGCTTCAATATGACAGACCTTGCAAAATACTACATATATATGATAACACAATTTTAAATACTTTGCCTCATAGAATAAAACATCAAATTTCTGAATAGTTGCTTGCTGCGCCTATCGGTTCCCAGCTTAAATAAAATGGAATAAACTCGTTCGAAAAATGTCAAATTCCTAAACATCATGAGGTCCAAGCACCTTTCGATTGACAAAATAAATGGCACAATTAAAGGAACAAATTTGTCCTCTGATACGTAAATTTAGCAACACTCTTAACATCATAAAAATTCTAGGCGGACTCGGTGACTGGGTACTCGAATACCACATCCTTCCCACATAGCTTCCTGTAAACCCCTGTAAAGGTCTCCAGTTTATACTCCGTGTTGTTTCGCTCCTTTGGGTCCAGGAAAATCTGATAAATGAAAATTTATTTAACTTAGAGACAACATTTTCTTCAGTGGACTGTAAAACACAAAAATTAACAAAATAAATTGCAGTCTGTGATATGCCACTAAGAAAAGGCCAGGAAAGAAAAACGGATTAAATAAAACAACTTTAAACCTTCATTTAATGGAATGAACAGAAATGACATAAGCACTAAATGTAACACCACCATAATAAGACTTATTCTACAATAGTAATAAACCATTTCAGGTCAAAAGAAGATGCAGAAAAATGCCTTGACTGTCATTCTAATAAGTATTCAAAAGAAATATACGATGGCAAAATAGACCATATCGACTGATGATTACAGCATAGAGATGCTCAACATCATCCAACAAATTCCGATAGGAGATATAGATGGCATCAAATCTGTTCAACCTACTATGGAATTAATCACAAGGGACACACCTTCATGAGCTTAGAGCCATCCAGACGATATCTTATGCGCTTTCCAACAATTTCAGCAGGATAAACCACATCTTCCAACGTGGCATCTTGAACAGCAGTGAGAGTGCGGCTGCGAGGGCGCACAACAGCAGAGCCCTTCTTCGGCGGCCTCAATATCCTTCGAGTGGCAATGAGAATCACATCCTACAAAATAAAGCAACACAATGAACTTTAGAAGGTACAAAGGTGTTTAATAACACTGAAAAACCACAAAGGCGATCTTCAAAATTGACAAAGCATAATAGAACTTTTCGACATCATGTTCTAGGTTGCTAATGAGAAGATGCTGTGACACCACTGTGAATTAGACTCATACAAGATAATGTCAATAAAAAAATTTGTAATAACAGTCAATAAATCCAATAAGCTTTTACCTGCTGTGTTGATTGATGTGCATATTGGAAAAATGAGACATTTTAACATAAAGCATATTGGACCTAATAACCAGGTGAATATGCCAAGGAAAAAAAAAAAAGAACATACAAGTGCACAAGACTCCCATCAATCAGTATATGCAGCCTTATCTATCTTAATATTCATGAATTGTAGCCATGGAATTTTGTCATGAGGTTTTGAACAACTCGACTATGTATTTTGAACACATATATTCCAATAGCACCCATGCAAAGGCATTATTCAGATCACCAGAAGTTCTTTAGAAGTTGTATTAATAAATAATCATATGTGGTTCATAAAAATGTTTCCTGCTACAAAAGATCACCTGGCACTCTCATTAATTCGACTTTGACCTAAAATCATTTAACCACAACAACATAAAGAAGATCCAACCCTCGCTTACCTTCCCGCTAAACTTCTTCTCCAGTTCTCTAACTAGCCTCACATGAATCTTCCTGAAGGCTTTCTGAAGCCTATACGGTACATGGATAACAACAGCTTTCCGGTTGCCAGCTATATCAACTTGACTGCATCAGAAGAACATGAAATGACGAAAAATAAGCAGCTTGAGGCTTGTCCACACAAGATAAGAGGAAGGTCAATAAACTCACACTGCTGAGTTGATGTAAAGATCCTTCAAGTCACTCTTTAACTCTTGGTTTCCATTTTCCAAATCAAAGAATGCCTGCAACAACTAGAAACTATTCGCTAAAAATATTTAAATGGAACCATCAGGAACAAGAAAACCAAGATTAACAACTAGCCTGTGCAACAGTGTCCTCAAACTCAGTCGGCTCAGCACCCTTCTCCTTTTGAATCTTTTTCCTTGCAGTGAACATTTTGATAGCCTTCAAAAGGATACAGAAGGGATTCAAAATATAAAACAAAAAAAACAGTTTTTGTACTTTAAATAAATAGGTATCAAATGAGCTATGGTAAACATATGCGGACTCTACGTAAGCTTCTTCAGGTTTTTTTGTTTCTCAGCCACTCGCATAGCGCGGGCTATATGACCATCTATCACAAATTTGTCTTACCTGATGCAAAAGATATCACTGCCGATGCATCAAAAATTGTTACCCATGAATGAAATAGGACTTATATATTTATAGCTAAAGACTCTCCTTCACATGTCAGCACGTAGAACCGCCCATGCTCAACAACGTGAAATATGATGCCACAGAACCTTCCTATACCATGTTTAATAGCTGTCAATCCATTTAAAAGTTTTAGCCCGTCGATGAGAGAGGATTTATACATTTACATTCTCGATACATGTTAATCGTAAATTTCTGAAAAGGTCGAATAACAAGTGGCAATCTTGCATCATAACAAATGAGACGCAGCAGACTTTAACCAGTGTGCAAAAATAATGTTCTAAGCTACTACAAACATAAAGATAACCAGTAAAGTACCAGATGACATAAATTGATTAACTGTATAAGATATATGGTTCGATACAATACGAATCACATCTAATTGCTACGACATGGGATGAATAGATGCACGTCAATGAACTCAGAATCCAATTTATATTATGCTAAAGTCTTTGACAGAAAGTAATCGGCATATCAGAAGTTCAAAACAGCTAAACGACGCCGACTTCAAATCCCTCTTGATGCGCTCTAGTGTAAGAATCAGGACCGAATCGGTCATCAGATCAGTCTATGCTTTTGGATTGGAACCGCAGCCATGGATCGAGGGTGAAAACAGTCGGTACCTTGGCGCCCGCGGCGAGGGTGGAGAGAACGAGGACAAGACCGCTGCCGCCGCCTAGGGTTTAAAGGCCGAAACGCTCCTCGCCCGCTCGGCCTTTATGAGCAAGACGCGTCGCGGTTCGGTGCTTTCCATGATCGGTGCAATCGGAACCGTCCAATGGAGGAGCAGATGTTAACCGTCGGATAAAGATCGGGCGGGCAGGGTGTCGATGGTCGGTCCGCTCACGAAGCCGGATGGATGGCCGGGTCATAAAAAACGCGCCACAAATACCCGCCTCGTCGACCCCGAGAGAAAAGAGGTGGGCCCCGGAGGCTAGATCAGCGGGTATGGGATTACGTAATCGTCTGTCCACAAAGCATCCCACTAATAGACATTATTTACAATAGTAGCAGTCGGTAGGTGTGTATTTATGTTCATATACATAAAATAAATACTCGAATTATCGAGACATGGTAAAGAGTTCTTTCGTTTTTTGGGGTTTATCAAGTCTTGAGTATTTATTATGCAAATGAAGACACTGCAATTGGGTTTTCACGGTAAAGCCTTGGGTTGTTATTATTGTCATGATAGATTTCATTGTTTCTTGCCTTTCATCAAATTCCATCCACCTAAAGTCGCATAGGCACCATATCCATATGTCGTCGTCTTCATGTGTCATTGCGTAAACATCATAAATTATCTAATAACATGAGGTTCAATCTCCAGCACGCATAAGTACATTGATTAACTGGAATTAAAATGGCATTTACATGGAGCTTAGACATCATTTGCATGGCGCATAGGGATGGGTGACAAGCCACCAGCCTTGTAGCAACAAATTGTCAGCTGGATGGAATTGGAAGTAGACCTCTCAAGAGAAAAGTTGACCTGAGAGATGGAACATGTACAAGCAGAATGGAAACCACAATAACGTTGATCTCCTCTTTGTCTTTATTATCCCTAGTCTTCGATGATAGAGATGAGAAGCGAGGCCTCATCCGCTGAAGGAGATTGCTCGTCTGGTTGTGCGAAAGACGTGCACGGATTAGTTAGCTCTTCGAACGAACATTACGAAAGAGGTAAATGAAAGCACCTGGCATGGTAACAGGCAAGTAGGGGAAGAGACGGTTGATGAGCCCTCCACCTTCTTCTTCTTCTTCTTCTTCTTCTTCTTCTTTCTTGTGATTATCCTCGGTCCCCTCGACAGGGCCGCCCGGAACGGAGACGGTCAAGTTAGACACAAGACGACCGATGAACCCGACACCATCGTCAACCTCTTTGGCTCCCTTGAGGCTGGAGTCTACAGCATCTCGCTTCTTGGCGGCCATTATCTCTTCTGCTTCCTCATCGCTATCTGCTGCAGGCCCTCCGTTGGATGGGTCTTCTGGCTTCAGGATGGATGAAAGAGAGACGAAGCTCTCGCTCGCATCGACGCTATCCTCCATGGCTCTTATCCCCTCCTCGTTCTCTCGCTCGCTCTCCTGGATCAACTAAATAGTAGCGACATCGGGAAGGAAAGCCCCGCAGGTTGTACACGTACTCCCACGCTTTTGTCTTTGGGCTCTCTGTCGTGCTTTGGAATGCGTAGCCTGGCCACCGACTCTTGGATGTCTATCTTCTCTGCACGTGTACGTAGGACGGTGGAATGCCTCGATGCCGACATGCATGCGGCAACGAGAGGTCGGTTTCATTCTCCTTCGAAACCAAGTGTTGGCTGTCACAACACTTGTTTGAACGAAGGTTTCCAGAAAAATTAAGCAGACCTCCGCTCTCCTGCATAATCTGTTTGAACCTGATCTGATCTGATCTGATCATCAGCATGGCTCACAGCTCGTCAAATGATGTACACTACCTGCCATCCCAACCGACCATGTCATCAAAGGAGTTCCGCAAAGCATCTCTTGAAGCCATCGCTTGCGGAGGCTACCGCCAAAGCGATACTGAGCCATAGTCCGTCGTTGCCAGGTCGCGGCCACACACAGGCTTTTGCAGAAAGCATGCCTACACAACACCATGTAGTAGAAAATATATGCTGCGATCGTGAGGACTTGTAAAACACATATCTTGTAGGCAGGAAAATGAGAGACCAAAACAAGAAGAAGAAGAGATCCCACTGTAGGTGTCAAAAAGGTACCTGGACAGTCATGGTAATCTTCCACGGATATCAACAAAAAAGATAACTTCAGATCCTTTGGGAAGCTCATTTCTTCCATCAGTGGAACGAACGAAGTGTCCTTGAACGTAGGAACCTGCATGCTATCCTTGAATTTCATCAACATCAAACACTTCAATTATGGAAGTTCAAGGAAATCTTAATCTGAGACAACAAAAATAGATAGAATCGCTGTATATAATTTCTCCATACTCGGATAGTAACTGATCGATTATGCCTTTTACCATTATAAGTCTCATCTAAGAGGGGCAAAGGATTCACCTCAACAGAAGACCTCTTCAGCAAATTCAGTGTTCTTCTAAATCTGTTTGGTACTCCAAGAATGCTACCTGCTATAACTATGAAATACACAATGTCTCGTTGCTTGAAAAGCAAAGCACACAAAAGATGAAGAAATTAACTGTTTTTTTCTTCTTCTTTTTCATTAGGTGGTAAATGTCACCAAGAAAGTGATTGGAGTTGCTTCCTTTCAAGCAGACAGCCAGTTTGTCGATCATAATTATATATATGTTACAACAAAAATGCAAGACGGAAGAGCCAGCTACAAGCAATGTTAACTCGTGTTTACACCTTATGGAAATGAATTAATCCATGAGTTTGTATCTTTTCTCTTGGACACCAGTAACCCCCATTTGTATCTCAATTATTGTGTGAAGTGGCACCTACATAGGTAAAAAAGAACCCTGTCTGAACTTATGTACCATGCAATAGCATACCCAGGGAAGTTTCATGTTTGCTGAAACATACACGCAAAGCCTCAATCAACTAATGACTTACCTCAATGTCCGGAATTTCTTTTAGTGGTCTGTCAGCAAAATATGCATACAATGCTCTCAACACGGCCTATAAGATATGGAGTAACTAAAAAATTAAGTACTTCACGCAAACATCCATACAATAGACAATTAAGCATTCAAGCAAATTACCTGGTGAGAAATGACAACAACCGGTGCACGTTGTCGTTCGAGCTCAATAATTACAGGTTCCAGTCTGAAAATGATGTTCGTATTAACATCTTGAATGGAGAATCATGCAGGCATTTTCATATAAGATCCTCTGGTGAATAAATAAAAAAAAGTAAGTCAACAAATCAAATTGAATCACTAAAACAAACCTTTGAATGACATCCAAGTATGACTCCCCACGAGGGTATCGATATCTAAGCTTGTCCTTCTTACGAGATCTGAATTTTTGACATGTGAAGAAGTTACAAGAAGTTCTAACAAATGCCTAAAGGATCAAATGGTGATAACTGGGTATACTGGTATTCTTGAAAGTGAAAGGAAACCATCTGTGATGCTATTTATAGTATGTTTTATTAGTGTCTTTACGATAAAGAGGTAAAAAGTGACTGATAAGTTCAATTTCAGTTAAAAAATACACCATGAAAAATAAATTGGTTTCATTAAGTTGGATTGTACTATTCAGTCTAAAATAACGACTTTGTTCTGCAGCTCAATCTGCATTAAGATTGACCAATACATAAGGCTTTTGCCAATAAAGAATCTATGGATCGATGCGTACAATTTTATCCTGAAAAGTAGCAAGTTTGTTTCTATGATGGTAACGATGGTCACCTAGATCGCAAAAGTGCAACTTTATTATAATACCAACACTCGCCCTACGGCTCTTATATGCTTCAAGAGCATAAATTGGCCATATAAAGCAAGTTGATATGATGTGGAGCTATACCAGAACCTTGCTAGAGCCTGATTGCTACAAAGGGCTAAAATTGTGCTTTGTGGATTTAAATTTTTTCCCGGCCCAAACTCATAGCTGGCCTCAGTTCATGCCAATTAGACTTAAAATGCCAAAATATGGAATCAAGTGGATAAAGAGGTAGGACCATCACATTGATTCATGAGACATACAAAAGAAAGAACAAAACGGTGTGCCAATGATGTTACAACACAGCATAAAAACAGAACAAGAAAACATTGAAAAAATGATAGTTGTGGAGAAAACGATAATGATTGGTTATAAATGGTTCTGGGCTCAGAAAATGTTTTAGCTGCATGAGATTTTAAGAGAAGAATTGGAAAGATGTCTAATGTTTATGCCAAAGGCGAACTTCAAAGTTTCATACAAATTCAACTGTTGATAAAATAAGATAATTGTCAACTCAAATTCACCTCGCATAATGAAGAAAACAGGAAGATAGACAGTTTAAATATTTCACTATCTTGAATATGCAATGCTTTTGGACAACTTTAGAGACGGTGACAGCTTATGCACAATTAATAGCTGCTGTCTCAAAACTACCACTTTAACTGAAAAATCAAATAATACAAAAAAAAACATAAAATGCAACATACACTAGATATAAAATGTCTAAAGCATGAAATAGTCAAACATGATACTATACTACAGAAATACTCAAAACATGACAAGAAGCAATGTTGTGTACTTGGTTTTATAAAAGCTCTCCAGGAAAACAGCATCACTGTAGAGATAGTAAGAAACTTTCTTTGTTTTAGTGATTTAATTTGAGATCCCACCCCCCTCCTTTTCCTCTTCTCTTGCTTTCCCTTCAATAATGTATAATAATTCTATTTTTACCATCCATCAACGTTTTGCATATCGTACCATACCGATCTACCGATCAGTTGTCGGTACAATACGTACCAAAACTATATCAAGTGTACCAAAACACAGTACACTAAGATGTACCGATGTACCACCCATACCGATCCTCTATCAGACTGGTACTACCGCCGATACCGAGTGGTACGGTACGATATTGCAAACCATGCCCTACACCTAAACAGTAGAAAGTCAAATCTCCTATCCATGTTGCTAAAGCAAACACAATTTTGTTTTACCTTTTCACATTAAAATATCTTCTTAAAAATATTTTTTTATCAGAAAGAAGCCTCATGATTTTCCAATAGATTTTAGGTACAATATAGGGCAAGAACTATGCAGATTTAAGTGATATAAACCATTACCAGAGGACTACTACTCTACATATGACTAACATAAGACGGCATTTTTGATACATACACATATTCGTCGGGCATGTTTTTCTTTATTTCTTCACAAGTCATTCCATCACAAACTCCAACATTTATCTCTTCAAGAGCGCGCCATTGTATCTACAAGCAATAACAATAACATTAAACTACCATCATATTAACTGATAAAAAGGAAACAGTGCATGTGACTTCAACTTAGAATCAAAATATCAGAATATACCTTTGGGAATCCAACAATTGGGCTTGCAGTTAGTATTGTTCTTTGTAGTGTGCTAGTCCATATCTAAGACATTTAAAGAATAAATAGAATTTATATGAAATACAGCCAACTTATTATGATATGAATAAGATAGAGTCACAAGCTAAGTGATTATTTATCTAACTATATGGTGTCAAATCTGTAATGACAAGTACGGCAGGCATGATAAAAAAATTTGAGACAATAAACAAAATATTAGACTTAGATTCTGAGACATTTCTCATTAACATCATAGGTGACATAATATAAGGGATCCTTGAAGATTCACAGAATGAAGGTACAAAGAATATCTGAAAAGCTCCCTGTACTTTCTTCTACACTTTCTTGTACTAACTATCCAAACAAAGAAAAAGGAGGGTGAAGAATGAAGGTACAAAAAAGATCCCTGTAAGTTCTTCACTTTCTCACTGCATAAAAAAGATGATGAATAATTCAAGGAAATATTGAAGCTTGTTATAGATGTTATAAATTGATATTGGCCAGGAAAAAGAAGCAATTTAGAAATTGAGCAGTACAAAAGGTTCAGTAAAGAAAGTGAACTAAAGCACAAATGTTATTCTTACAGAAGCTGTCCTCTCAGACTTCAGTCTCTTCTCAACAAAGTTTGCAAGTTTCTTTGCATAAAGTTCACCAGCTTCGCTGCTCAAAAAAGTTGAAACTAATGACACTCATAAGCCCTCTGTTTTCAAGTATAAATGCTAAAACAGGTTCACAAGAACTAATGAACACTAACTAGAATTTCCTCTTATGAAGATAGATACATGCACATAGCATGCTGAAACTTATCTTTGGGATATCAAATATAAACGGCATATAATTATCATAATAGCAGTAGAATGTTTCCATATGAATAGAAAAAAGAAAACAAAGACCAAACATATGGTTGAGTATTTCGTATTATGTACAAAAATCTCAGGTGTCCAGAGATGTATAAAATATTATTATTTTTCCTTCATGGTACATAATGAGATAACCTCAAAGTCCACTTTTCACAAAAAATGGGAGAATTTTATTGAGACTAACACCACTGGAACTTCCAAGACATAGATGCTTTATGAAGTATGTTATTTTAAGATTAAAATTATAAAATCCAGCAATTTGGAGGATATTAAAAAGATTAAGACAGAGTTAACCTCAAAACTGCGTCACCTCCAATTCTTCCTCTGACATTATCTCGACTTTCACCATGCCGAGTAAGCAGAATAGGCCGGGGTGTGAGATGAGTATTCACCTGCATTGTAAGTCTGAATAGCATGACACATGACAAAAGATTTTATTAAAGAAAACTTGAGTATTTTTGGTTTCTTATGACTTTTAAACAAGCAATATTAGTAAATGGTTATGTTCAGTATATGAACAGTATACTGGTACAGGACAACCAATGCAAACATGAATATTGAACGTTACTTCCAACATTCGGGGTGGGTCATTCTCTTCTCCCTTTTCTGTTTACATACCTGAACTAATGATTTCAGTAGAAGATGTTTTGTATGTCGTGACAACCATACTTTACCTAAGCATGGATAATTCTATCAACAGGTTGATGCTGTTGGTACCATCAATTCTACGATTTAGAATGCATGTACAATTTCGATATTGACGTGCTTACCAAGAAGAAGACAATTCGGCCAGGAAGATAACCACTGATGTTGTTAACCTGAATAAAAGATTAAGTTTTAAAGCAATAAAGGTCATCAAAAAATTTAAACAAAATAAAAGATAATAGCATTATATGCTGCAAAATAAATACTTTAGTCATGTAAAGTCAAAAGGCAGGTTCAGAATTTGCACCAAGTTAAGAAATAAGCAGAACAATATTAAACACTAATATGGATTTTACTAGTGAAATTACCAGTGAGGACTACAGCAATCAACTTATAGATACAATATGACAAGCAAAGTATATTTGATGGAGGTTATTAAATGCTAATCAAGTGAGTTAGTAAGACAGCTATAAGAGAGTTAAAACTTAAACGTACCTTGAGCTAATGCCAATGATCTACAATGGCTAAGGTTTCATCATTCAGATGTGTTAATGCAGTTGTCTTTGATGGAGGTTATTAAATGCTAATCAAGTGAGTTAGTAAGACAGCTATAAGAGAGTTAAAGTGCCTTGAGCTAATGCCAATGATCTACAATGGCTAAGGTTTCATCCTTCAGAGGTGTTAATGCAGTTGTCTTTGGACAGAGCACTATTGTTGCATTCTCATCAGAAGGTACTAACAATTAGAATACTTGAAAACCAAAATGCATTTGCATTTATAATGGATGGTGGAAAGTTTTGTGTTTTATGGTTCAACCAACAACACACTCGAGGAAAAAAATTACGTAAGGGTGACCATGCCAAGGCAGGTAGCAATAACACTGGCACCTTGCCACCAACATATTTGGTTGTTCTAAGCAGTGACAAGCACATGCCCCCAAGCCTAGTAGTCACCAGTGTGATCTGATGCTGTGATAGAGCAATCCCTAAGCCCAAAAAGATGAAGCTCAGGTACAACAAAGATATGTATCCAAGCAAAACAAATTATAACTCAAATAAAAGAGTGAAGAATTAAACTCACTTGTATCTGGCCACCTTGTCCGCTGACCATGTCAATCATTTTGACATAAGAACCCTCCTCTACCGGCTCATATACCTACAGATGACTATATATCATTTATTTTAAATTTACTAAGCATCTGAAATTAAAAGATGCTACCTGATAAATGTGGCTAGAACAAAAGGTATGTGCTTGGAACCTTTTCATAATTAGCTAAGCGTTCTTTGAAGTCCCGCATTCCAGATTCAAAATCAAGTCTGCAGAATAATAACTAATGTACCACTCACCATGGCTAATTGACACATATATATCAAAAACAAAATGTTGAATGCCAATACTCACTCTTCTGCATAATCAGGACTTTGTTGAATTTTCAGGCGGATATTTCTTTCTATTATGTGTTTGTCATTGCAAATTGTTTCCAGAAATATGATCTGCAATTAGGACAGGTTTGAGTAAACAAACAAAAATATCACGGCTGGATTCAACAAAATTTTAATAAAAAACAGACAAAAGAAACAGAAAATGTGGAGATAGTAGAAGGGAATATATATTCTCTTCACTTGGAAATCACATGTGATAGGTGAAATGAAAGGACCAAGAATCAATTAAATGGCAACCTAAGCCTTTATACTATATGTTCTACCTGAATCAATTATGAATATGAGATACCTTGAAAATCAAGCGGAATATTAAAAGTCAACAAAGAAGAGGCAATAATGACAAGAAGAGTAGTAGACACTTGAAAGGTACCTTACATTTTCCTTCAGCCATTTTCATGAGCATATTCCTTCGGTTTCTGGTGCTATTTGTTGCATCAAAGATACCAACCTATAGTACAACCAGAAAGAGAAGAGCCAATTATCCCATTGAACCTTTTTTATCACAACAAAACTAGCACTATACCTGACCTCCTTCTTGCATCCAGGCTATCATATCATCCATAGCTAAAGCAGCCACCTAGAGATATTAAAAAAGTACAGGGCAAAGTAAGCCGTTAAGTTGAATGAAGTTTTTTGCTTTATTATTAAATTTTGAATCAAGTTAGTACGAGAAACTCTTCTGCAGTTGTTGTAAAAATACTCATCCTTGCCTAATCAGAAGTGCAACTAAAAGCTATATATATAACAACGAGCATAAAGATTAACAATTGAAGAAGTTCAGTACTGTTGTAACTTGTAGTCAAAATAAAAGAAATAGCAGAGAAATAGCAGTTGTAATTGTGTGTTGCTACCTCATTGCGAGCCTCCAAACCTTCTGGATTGTCCCCACGAAAAAAATCAGCAGACTGCATAATGGCATGTTCTGACATAAATTATTATGGAAAGAAGAATGGACAATTTGTTATTAATAGTTAAATGTAAAAAGATTATAACATGAGAAACAGATGAAGAAATAAATGAATTTAAATTTGAATAAAATCATAGTTAAGGATAAGTTGCACATGGAAAAAAAACCGACAGTGGTTAGTAAGTTTCTTAAAAACATAGGATAGCACACACACACACATATATATAAACATATATGTATATGTATACATACATATATACATAAAAGAATATATATATATACATACATATGTACATATACATACATACATATACATATATTTACATACATATATATACATACATATATATGCATACATATATATACATAAATATATATATAAATATATATATATAATAGTTGCACAAGGAAAAAATACCTACAATGAAATTAGTATTTATGTTCTTTGTAAATGAAATTACTTTAAGTGATGACAGTTTAAATAAAACTAATTTCTAACTTTAATTATAATGGTAAATCTAAGAAACAATATGTTTACAAAGATCGAATATATATGTAAATTTAATAATAAAAAATGATATAGTTAAGTTGGGTGGACAAAAAGTTCCAAACAAGTAAAGTCTTCAAGTAATTCAGATTAATTATTGGACAAGATGAAGCGATCAATGACGAAATTATTCATACTTCATAGATCAAAAATTTAGATCAATTATTTAACAAGATGAAGCAATTTATATATTATTCATACTTCATAGATTGACGATATTATTCATACTTCAGGGATTAAAATTGGATGGTTAAAGTGAAAAGGTGCATCGGAAATTTTGTGCGATTAACAGCATTAACAGCTACTCTTTATGTTAAAAAGAGTTTTTTAATAAAATAATTATTAGGCAGTGATGCTTTATGGAATTTATGAATCCAAGTGTTGGATGATTAAGATGCAACATGTACAAAAATATTATGTTGCTAAAATAAGAATGCTAAGATGGATATATAATTTTTTTATGAAAAATAAAATTTATTTTCATCCAAAAAAAATAAACATAGCATGGGCATGTTTTAAAGAGATCTATGGACACTTTAGTAAGATGATATGATTAACATTAGTATGAGGAGAGATAGAAGAAAGGCTAAGGAGACTTTCCTAGAAAATATAAATAAAAATAAAATGCTCCTGATTTAATTAAGGATATGAATTTATACAAAACTTGATGAAAAAAAATTCATGTGGGACATTGCGGTTTGTTGTTGTATACTTGTATTTAAAAAGGAAAGTCAAAGTAAATGTTTATTTTTTTGTGAAAACACATGAATGTTAATTGTACGAGATATAATTGCTATTATAGAAGTTATATGGTTTAAAAATAAAACATCTCGGTTTCCTAAGGGCTCTTTTCCAAATATAAATGACTGAGAGTGTGGGTTGTGTAGTTTACATGAGTACTTGCCACGTCAATGGTCTTTTGAGCGCATCAAGTTCTAGATTGTAATTCATTTATGTTGTTAGCTCTGCAGCTGCCTTGCCCATCCACATCCCAAGAATGTTGTTGGCATATACTTCTTTGTTCCCATCTAAAATCCATCCCTTGAACAGCATTCCCTCTAATGCCACCTGATAGGGCATATTTTGGCCCCAGATGAATCACCAGCGACGTCACACCCCATCAGCCACAAACTCGACGCCATATGCCATCAGAACCCCGAGGTGCACGCCACGTCGGGTTCCGTACCGATACACTGTGCGACATGACCACCCCGAGAGCTCGTGGCGGTGCTGTCTGATGCCGCTCAGGCACCCCCAAAGACGCCAACTCGTCAGAGAAGTCGTCCCGCCCCCACGAAAGTCAGCGGCCACGCCGAACCGAGGCGCGACCAATCCTCGCACGCTGGTATAAAAACCCATGTCCGACGCCCGGCCTAGGGGACACGAAAAAAAGCAGGAAAAAAAGAATACTCGACTGACTTGCTCGTCGGAGGGGCCAAAGTCGGGAAACACCCGACAAATGCCATTTTTGCAGGGAGGCGATCACCCCCGAGCGGCGAACGTCTCCACCCGGGAATCGCCATCCGGTGCGCAAAGCAGAGCAATCCGTCGGCCCGGATCCCGACCAACGCCAACTAGCACCCCTTCCCGAGGGTGCGGCCACGTCGCGAAGAAAAGCTGCCTACCACCCCGGGGACGAAAGGACGCGACCCACCACAGACAACACTCTAGTCGGCAGACCATAGAGCGCTGACCCGCATCCACTCACCTGAGCTCGACCGACCCCGCCGGTCCGACTCACGCCCGAGACGCTCAAGAGGTGCAGCCACCTCATCATCCCATTCACTCCACCAGAAGTCCCCGACATTGACCCGCAGACCTAACCATGCTGACTCATCAGCCACAGTACTATTGTTCACTAACACCACCAATCCCCTATGCTGCAGGCCTGCACATTTCTCTTAATGCTGCCAATCCGATATGTTGCAGGCCTGCAGAACTATTCTTTCCTCCTGATGAATGGCCACGACCTCTTATTTGACTCGATTCAAGTGATACAATTTTTATTCTTTTCACATATATTAATAGAATCACTGCTAGTTAATTTATGAAATCAGATTTAACATAAAAGAATGCTTTGGTAAACAGTTAACATAAAAGAAAAGCACAACACATCTTTTATCATACCTGGTTTGTTCCAAGCTTAAGGCGGCGATACTGTCAACCAAGTTGCAAGTCAAACAAAAGCAGTTAGTAGTATAAACTGGATCAATCAAGATAAAGAATTGGCTCTGTAACATAGGCACTAGGCAGAATGTAGAAGCTCAGTCTTCACCTTGCCAACATTGAAATGTTTGGTCTCATGACCTAACCAACGCAGATATCTAGTAAGCTTGGCTGCTGTGAAGGTCTTTCCCCGGGCTGGCAAACCAACCTATAACATCACAATATAACAAATAGAACAAAGCATTGGCAAAAACCTGTTAAAGACTACATGTTACACAAAAATCGAGAGTGAAAGCTGAGAGGTATGCTGAAGATGGCCATAAGATATAGGATAGAGTTTTTAACTAAAGTAGACTATCAGATTTATGTCACCGAATGGCCTAATGGATAGTTCAAATAAATGTCGACGAGGATGGGATAGCTTGAGGTTTATACATATCTGCTACATGTATTTGTCATATTCAATATCTCTATTCTTTTAATTTGTATAATTGGAGCAGACATGAAATAACATAATATATGGCATAATGGCAGTAAATACTTCCAGTTAAAAGAAAAGTTTAATTTTATATGTTGTTACCAACACAATGGCCAACCTACTATCCTCCTTTGGTCCAAGCATCTGATCAGCTACAGCTGCGGCTGCAACTGCTCCAGCTGCTGCTGGCATGGCCTTCTACCAATTAGTAAAATAGAAAATATAAGAAACATTAGACATACAGTTACATGAGCAGCAAATTCTCTGAGCTAGAGAAAAGCAAAATTTGATGAATATACTCTCTAGAAATTTGTCTAATGGCATAGTTAAATAAGTTCATGAGAAACGTCCAATATGAGGTGTTCTGACACTTTAAATAAATGCATCGTAATAAAAGAACTTTCGAAGTGAATCATTAGCACAGGCAGTATAATGCCAGTTCAAGGTTCAGCTTGTCCAGACAATGTGCTTGGGCACCCTCTTTCAGCCAAGACAGATTAGCATAATAAAAGAACTTCCAAATTGAATTGTAAGCACAAGCAGTATAATGCCAGTTCAAGGTTCAACTTGCCCAGACGATGTGCTTGGGCAACCTTTTTTCATACAGATTAGCATCACTAAAACTTTCATCTTGTTGTTTGTGTTTGTTGAGAGTGTAACAAGCTCTTACTGCAAGATAGTGTGCTTGTGGACTTAACATGCCTATCAGACCATGTAAACAGCTTAAACAGATAGTGTAACAAGTTGTTACCCACCCTGAAGAAAATAAGAGGAATCAGTTATGACAAACAGTAGAATTATTGGGGATACAGAAATGACATGCATATCCTAGAGTAGTTGTTTACAGACTCAGATGAACAACTGAACTAAAATACACACATGGTCAAGTAATGGTACAAAATGACAGGTATGACAACCATGCAGGAGTGGTGTCCTGCAGGCTGAGATGAACATACAGACTACAAGAGACTCATGGATCGACTAACAGTAAAAAATTGATAGGTATAACAAAAGAACCATGCAGAAAGCTGATGTCGATTTTTCTGCAAACATGAACAAACCTTTGTCTCAGAGCCCAACTTGGGATCAAATGTGACTGCACCTGCACTAGCTGATTTAACAAGTCTAGGAGAGCCCACACCCCTATCAACTAAGAGTCCTTTTTGGCCATCTTCCTTTAGCAACGGTGAAAACGTGCCAACCGACTTCGATTCAACCATACCAGGAGCTGGAAGAAGTTTGGTAGGATCCAAGACCATAGAATCCATATCCTTAGCAAAAAATAAACAAAAAAGGATAGTTATTTCTAAGCTTCCTAATTAAACTAGTAGCAATAACATTAGAATACATCTGGACAGCAAGCATATTATCAAGCAAAACACCCACATACAGAGTATACTGACTGCTTAAAAATGAGAAAAAAATTGATATGAGAAAAACAAAATTTTGAGCAATACCATCAATAAGCAAAAAAGTAGATAAGGGTAACTGAACAGTGCATCGGATGAAACATTGAACAACTCTCTTGCATTTGACTTCTTACGAGAAGGTCAGTAAAAGAAATGACGTGCAACTATATATGCAGGCCATAAAATATTATTTGTAGGTCTCTGACTCATGGAAAACCTGAAAACTAGGAGAAGAGTTGCAACTTGCAAGTACCTTCTGGCTGTTGGAATGGTCAAGTGAAAAAACACCAGCTTTACTCGAGTCATATGAACTTCCACTTGAGGCATCATTCTTGGAGGAAATTCCAGTATTAACCAAGGATCTTGGTGTCTCTGTCAAATTAGCTGCATAAACTACACCAACGCTGGAAGATGGTGCTGGAACAACATAGTGTTCTAAATCAAGCTCCAAAGTGGATGCTGGCCCATTCTGGTGGAAAAGATGGATAAATATGAAAATTATAGCAATGAAGAACAAGTCATCAATTAGCATATAGCAGAAACTAGACAAGGATGAGAATGACAGGATCAAACTCTACCTTGGCTACGACAGACCTGGTAAGAAATGCAGTATCAACCAAGAGATTACTAGAATCACTTATAAACAGAAACAACAGAAAGTCTTGCAACATCTAGACTTTCACTCAGCAATACTTTCTCTCCATCTAGAAGTTTCACATTACATAATCAAGATTTAAAAAAATCATCATCATTGAAGCTTTTTCCAGTCATGTTGTTCCCTGGCATAGCAAGATCACAACTCAACATTACGGTTGCGCATTTTTAGATACCATGTGAGTGATTTGTCCATCTTTAAAACTTCTTAAAAGTCCACCTACAACTGCATGCCCCTTGAAAAATTAATGCATACTCCATATTGACTATTATTCTCCTAGGGTATCCCAAATCTACCTTTCCATCTCCTTGTTGCCTGATGAACAAACTTGCATATGAATCTGAACCTGATTTTCGGGTCTCTATCGATGCAACACTACTGTCAACTTGACATTAAAAATTCCAAAAATCTAAAGATGTCATCACAATACACATCAGAATAAAACAAAGTTCACCATTATTATTTTTTTTATCATAAGCCTTCCATAATTACTGATGATGTGAATCCATCAAATAAAACAAAGGTTTCATTGAGTTGGTGTTTCTGCTATATGCTAATTGATAGTAACACATCATAATGGAACAAAGTCTTTCTAGAACGCTAATTAAAATGTTTGTCTAGTAACATATGAGTTCAAAAATTACCACATCCCAGTCAGGGTTAATAACTGACAGATCACTTGGGAATTTCCACAATAGCCCTTACACATAATTGTCATGTATATGCACCAATCATTAAAGTATAACCATTTTACCTAAGAACTAGAGTTTTTTCCATTTTATCTTTGTATCATGGTAATCTAAAAGTCATAAATAGAACCCAAAAACCCAAAGAAATTCTGGCAAATGACCCAAATAGTTGGGAATGATTCTTGTCCTTGGATCTTAGCATACTGGTGATGACATTAGATATAGCATTTCCATTTGTTTCTGATATTCTAGCCTTTCTTTTTTTTTTCAAGAAAACCATGTTCATGGTCACGTTGACTAGATTTTGTTAGAGTCATCCAGCATGAAATTTATGGTAAAATAGAAAGATCATTTTTATTATGCTAAATTGCCTTCTTAAAAGGCATCAAACTGGAGCTTGTAAGTTCCAGGAGTACCTCCGAACCCATATTATCGGGTGCAACATTGATACTGACATCTGGAATCCCTCGTACCCTCGACGGCTCAAGATTCTCCTGATATGCCCTCCAACTAGCTGCAAGATCGAACGGGGACACTATGTCCACCTTAATGAACAACTTGTACTCAAGAACCTCCTCATATCCGCCCACCTTGAACAGCGCCGACCTGGCATCCTCCTCTTGCAGCATCCCTCCAGTGAGCAACCGGCTCGGCCCCTCCTCCACCACGCATGGCACGTTGCTGTACTTCGGCTTCAGCAAGAACTTGAAGTCCAGCGTCTCTAAAGAAGAAGAGGAACAAGAACAAGGCCGAGCAACCAAAACAGAACAATGAAAACGCAATATAACGGAGGCAATCGGATCCAAGAACCGGAGTGGGCTCGTCCATACCGTGATTGGGGGGCACGACGAAGCTGAGCTCCCACGTCGACGCCGACTCCCGGGCCATCGAGAGCTAAGGGATCATCGAACATCAAGAAGCGTCAGACAGAGAGAGATAGGAAAGAGGCGAGGGAGGGTAGTTGATCTTACGGCCTTAGCGGAGTCCCAAGAACCGGTGACGGGGGCGGAGCCGTAGACGTGGGGGATGAGATCGCCTCTGATGTTGAAGTTCTCCATCTTAAGGGAGACGTAGAGCTGGCCGTCGCGGCGGCCATGGGAGCTGTCGGAGTTCTTGGAGGCGCTTGTCCCCATCGGAGGAACGCCTTGGTCAGGAGATGGAGTTGAGTGGACGCGATTAGGATATGGGAGTTGAAGAGTCGGTGTGACGGAGGTATAGCAGCGAGTGAGGTTGAAGAAACGTGATCGAACCGGCGAGCGGGGAAACGGAGAAGTGAGACGGCGTTTCCACCTCGGATTGAATTGGGCCCACCGACGAGTGAGTGAGCGTGAGAGAGGGGGAGAGAAAACGGGGGACGTGAATGGGATCATGTTTGCTGAAGGAAAGAGAAGAGCAGATCTGGTCATCCAATCTAATGGACGGTGCAGATGATAGATGATGTGATGGATGGACGGCTTCGACCGGTGATGTAGATCACTCCTTAATATTGTGGTGGGTATTAAATACACTAAATAGTACATGATAATTGTTATTTCTACTTCAACATCTTTCCTGTATTTGAAGATTTAGTCGAAAAAAATCTTGATTGTTCTATAATAAAATATTAGAAAATTACTCTTTAAAATTATGAAAAAAAGTCTATCGCATTAATATTTTCATATTATTAATAACTAAAAATGGTTCTGACTCTATTTCGCTAGAGACCACATTATTTTAGAAAGACATAAAGAAAAATCTCATTTGATTCCAAATCGTCGTACACATGAACAGTCATAATTTAACTTAATAATAAGTTTTTGAATGTAAAATATTGATCTCATATTCAACCTATTAAAGACTTTAATATATGTCATTTGATAAAATATTACATCTAAAATAATTGGTCTCATAATAATATATTACATTGAAGGTTTGAGATAAATTTCTTTACGAAACAAGATAAGATTTTCTTAACTTTCCACGACTATTCGAGAAAATCTCTTTCGACTAATCGATCTTGATAAAAGAAATCTTTCCCTTTACCTGATACAAATATAATCTCATTTATCACCTCTTAATTTGTATCAGAGCGTCTCTTGTCGTGAATAAGATTTACTCCCAGTGACAACAATTACTGACAGGTAGCCTTCTCCCCTGCACGGTCAGCGGACCCACACCGACATTGGAACATACTCTCTTGCGACTCCACACAGACATTAGAACATACTCTCTTGTGGCTCCTTGTGCACTGACTCTACCCCTCCATTGTGCTTTTCTTCTCTGTCTTCTCCTTTCATTCCGGGGAACTCTAACAAACTTTATCTCCTCTACTGCAGAACCTTTCATTTGATCATTCCCTGGGAACTAGTACATCATCTTATTTATCTGTCTCCTCTCAAGCCAAAGTGTATCGAGGATTTGCTCCACCGAGCCATCTCGGATATCGAAAACTCTTAATCCCCTTGCTACTCATCACTATCATCGCTACTAAGCATAGCATGGAACAGTAGTGATTCTCATCGAGGACCTCATCTCGGATACCGAGTGCTCTCTGCTAGCAAAGCCTCTATGTAATTCCTCATCGGCGGAGCTGCAATAGTTCCAGTGTCGATGTCATCCCTCATCCTCTATCTAACAAAAACTATTTTTTATTATTCACTTCTAACTTTGATAACAAGTAGCATCACAACTAATTATAATACTTGTTTTAGTAATAAAAGTCATCGACTACTTTTTAGAACATATTCTATATCCTACTCTAAACTATTTGAAATTATTTATATAAATGTTTGGGATCTTACTCCAACCACTTTTTTTGATAATTTATATTTTATGTAATTTTTATAGATTATTTTACTAAGTACATATGGTGAAGTTTCCATGGTTTTTACTCACTTTAGAAAGTTTGTCGAGAATTTCTTTCAGTCTACAATGAGTGAATATCGAATTCTAACATCTTGAATCTTAGTTTGTAGTATACAACACATCAAATCACTCTCCTTGGCCATATCGAATAAATATAGTTGAAATTGGTTACACCCTTCTACATCAAGCCTCTATACCACCAACCTGCAGCCTTTCAAACTACAGTCTACCTCATTAATCGTATGCTTACTTCAGTCCTCCAATATCAATCACTATTTGAAAATTATTTCATAAACTTTCAAACCTTCAAAAACTCAAAATACATAGTTGTCTCTGTTATCCATGGCTATGCCCCTATGCCTCACATAAGATAACACCAAGATCTAAATCTTGCATCTTCATATGATATTCTCTTGAATATAATGCTTTCCGATGCTACGATCCTCAAACTCAAAAAGTCTTTATATCACGCCATGTCACTTTTGTGGAGTCTACTTTTCCCTTCCAAAACCAAGGGTCACCAGTCATGCGAATCACTCCAACAAACATACATCACTATAATATACCTCAAACATCGTCAAACAGGCCTCTCACCACACCATCCAATCCTTCCCATCATGATACACATTTATTGTTCCTCAAGTTCAGCAACTCTTCACTCCCTCCACTTACTTTTTTATAAGTTAATCCTATTGATGAAACACTACCCTTAGAAACATATCCACCGTCATTGCCTTCTCTTGGACCCAATGATACTGAAGTACCTTAGTGTGACCAGATATGTATCAGTGACTCTCCACAAATACCTATACCTACCGCACAACCTAACAATCCCATTGCACATGACATCCCATGACAAAATGCTCCAAAAGTTGTGTTTTCAAACCACGTCAAGTTCTTGACCTTTATGTCATCACAAACTCTCCACATGAGCCCATTAAACTCATCATCATTACTCAAGCTCAAAAATCTCTATACTAGGATAAAGCCATATTTTAAAAATACGATGCCCTAATCTATAATTCTACATGGACTCTTGTACCATTTCATCACATACAAAATATCATCGGGTGTAAATGAGTCTTTCGAATTAAACGGAATCCAAATGAATCCGTTGTTAGATATAAAGCACGTCTAATAGCCAAAAAATTTCATCAATGACCTCGTGTTGACTTCACAAAGACATTCAGTCATATTGTTAAACCAACAACAATCCGACTTATCCTAACTTTAGCCATCTCAAAAGGTTGACACTTACAATAACTGAATGTTATCAATACCGTCTTATATAAGACTCTAACTGAATATATATTTATATAGCAACCTTCCATATTCATCAATCCTAAATATCCAAGACACAATATATTTTATAAACTTCAAAAAACTATTTATAGACTTCGTTAAGCTCCAAGAGCATGGTACACCGAACTTGGCTCGTTTTTAACATCAACTAGCTTTATTATCTCTAAGTCTGATACTTCATTATTTTTACGATAATAAAATAGAAGTACAATATATCTACTAGTGTATGTGGATGATATTATCGTCATAAGTAATAATTCTATAGGGATCAAGGGAATTCTCGTGCAATTGGCAAATCAATTCTCCATCAAAGATCTAAGAATCTTGATAGCTACTTTCTAAGAATAGAAGCAATATACACAACTTGAAGACTCTTTCTCTCTAAAAAAAAGTACATTCAAGATTTATCATCAAAGATGACCATGTAATACGCCAAAGAGGTTGCAACTCCACTCTTTGCTATTGAATCACTTAAGTTATATGATGGCAGCCCTACTACAGATTCTATATAATACCGATAAATACTTAATTTTTTACGGTACTTATCTCTCACACGTCCCGACATCTCGTTTGTGATCATTAAATTATCTCAATTCATGTATCGGTCATCCACTATGCATTGGTATGTAATAAAACGAGTTCTGTGATATCTCAAAGGGATCCTCAATCATAAACATTTTCTCCGTAAACACTCACCACTTCATCTCCATGCTTTTGTCGATATTGATTGGGCAAAGAACATTGATGATAGAATATCTACATTGGGGTATAGTCTTCTTTGGTTCAAATCCAATCAATTAGAGTTCAAAGAAGCAAATAACAATCGCAATATCCATAACTAAAATTAAATATTGAGTCATCGCCACCACTACTGCATACCTAAATTGGATCACAAATCTACTAAAGGAACTCAATATCAACTCCATCCTAACTCCTATAATATATCATGATAACATAAAAGCCACTTATTTATGCACCAATTCAGTATTTCACTTATGTATGAAACACGTTATCATCGACTTTCACTTCGTCCGATATTAAATTATTAGACATCAACTACGTGTTTCTCACATACATACGACTGATCAATTAGCAGATTCTCTCACAAAACCTCTTGTCCGAGAGATATTTTCTTTATATTGGTCCAAGATCGATGTCATTAACAGAAGTTCAGTCTTACGAGATCATGATAGAAGATAATTTTTTCATAATCTTTCATAAACTATTCGAGGAAAGTTTTTGAAGATATCTTTATCAATTAATCGATATTGATAGAAGAAATCTTTCCCTTACCATGTATAAATAGAATTCATGTTAATGCAACTCCATTAATATCTTTTATCACCTCTAAAACTATTAGGAACAATAAATCTCCATGTGCTTTGATACAACCTCAGCAGGCTCAATTGGGGTGAACTCTATCGCTTGTATTCATTTCATAGCGTGCAAAAGGAGAGACGGGGGGCGCACACTGGAACCAAAACCTGCGTTCGCGGCCACCGATTTGGGGGCGTTGGATTGCCAGCCGGCAGCGGCCGCACTTGTCCTTCGTTCCGCGTTCCCGCTACCCACGGGCGAACGAGTGCGCACGTCAGAGTTGGCCGAGTCGGAGGTGGGTTGCAAACCGGGGCGGCGCCAGACCCCGCTGTCCGCCACGTGCCGCCTCTTCCACCGACGTACGCAGTTGCCACCCGCCTACCAACTACACAACACAAAATGCCACCTTCACTACATTAATAACAACGTTCCAAAATCAAATTCCTTTATTATTATTATTATTATTATTTATTTTTAATAAAAAAATCATAAATCCAATTATAACTCAAATGTTTGCTTTCGTCTTTAAAAAATAATAATTTGGCCCATAAATAATAGGTATAATGGCATCATACTTACGTCATCACTCGATATTTGACTGTTGACTGTTGACCGAATTCAACGTGTCGCTCATCTACGAAGAGCAGTAAAAGATTCCTGAATCTGCCCGTCCAGTCTTCTGTAACACGACGCCCTCTAACGTAAGTTTGCTGCGTTTCCCATGCAGTCAACCTGACACAGTGCCGAGGGCGATCGAGACCCCGACGGAAGAAAACCATGGTTTTCTCCGTTTCAAAGGGCTACGTGGTTTTCCTCTCCGACCATGGGTACATCTCCGCCGTCTTCTTGTCGATCGCTGTTGATCCGAAGCAGCCTGTGACCTCCATGCTTCTCCCGCCGAAACCGCTCTCTGGTTTTGCCCACCAAAATGAACCCACACGAAATGAAAAGCCACCTAATTCCCTCGTATAAGAGCTCGTCGTCGGTCTCTTGAGAAGAACACACGTCAAAGAAAAAAGATTGTTCTTTAAGAGAGAGAAAATAGCTTGTTTTAGCCACACGCAGTCGGTCTCGCGCTCAGTGGCGATGGACACTAGGATTGGGTCGGTGGACGCGGCGGTGGAGACCATGGCGAACGGTAGCGTGGGCAGCCCGCCGACGGCGCACTGCCACCCCATCGCCCCCGCGGCGCAGGCTGAGGCGGCGGAAGCGACCCTGGGCCGCCACCTGGCCCGGCGCCTCGTCCAGGTTGGCGTCCACGACGTGTTCGCCGTCCCGGGGGACTTCAACCTCACCCTCCTCGACCACCTCATCGCCGAACCCGGACTCCGCCTCGTCGGCTGCTGCAACGAGCTCAACGCCGGGTACGCAGCCGACGGTTATGCCCGAGCCCGCGGCGTCGGCGCCTGCGCCGTTACCTTCACCGTCGGTGGCCTCAGCGTGCTCAACGCCATCGCCGGCTCCTACAGTGAGAACCTCCCTGTTATCTGCATCGTCGGCGGGCCCAACTCCAACGACTACGGCACCAACCGTGTCCTCCACCACACCATCGGCCTTCCGGACTTCTCGCAGGAGCTTCGCTGCTTCCAAACCATCACTTGCTATCAGGTAATCATAAATAAAAAGCCGATTCTGTTCGGATCTTTTTCTTGTATTGAGCGTGCAGTTCGAATCTTGTGACGTCTCCGATGCGTTTGGACTGCGCACAGGCAGTGGTGAACCACCTCGAGGACGCTCACGAACTCATCGACACCGCCATCTCCACCGCGCTAAAGGAGAGCAAGCCCGTTTACATCAGTATCAGCTGCAATCTCTCCGCCATCGCTCACCCCACCTTCAGCCTCGAGCCCGTCCCCTTCTTCCTCTCCCCCAGGTAGACTTCCTCTTCGCAGCTTTCTCGTCCCTCGTGTTCGATAAGAATCCACATGTCGGTTGATTTTTGGATCCTCTTCTTCGAACTGTCAGATTGAGCAACCAGATGGGGTTGGAGGCCGCCGTCGAGGCGACGGTGGAGTTCCTGAACAAGGCGGTGAAGCCGGTGCTGGTGGGAGGGCCCAAGATCCGGGTGGCCAAGTCCGGGAAGGCCTTCGTGGAGCTCGCGGACGCCTGCGGCTACCCCATCGCGGTGATGCCCTCTGCCAAGGGGCTCGTCCCAGAGCACCACCCCCGGTTCATCGGCACCTACTGGGGCGCCGTGAGCACGTCCTTCTGCGCCGAGATCGTCGAGTCCGCCGACGCCTACGTCTTCGTGGGCCCCATCTTCAACGACTACAGCTCCGTCGGCTACTCCCTGCTCCTCAAGAAGGAGAAAGCCATCATCGTCCAGCCGGAGCGCGTCGTGGTGGCCAACGGGCCGGCCTTCGGCTGCATCCTCATGAAGGACTTCCTCCGAGCGCTCGCCAAGCGGCTCAAGAAGAACACCACCGCATACGAGAACTACCACCGGATCTTCGTGCCCGACGGTCAGCCGCTGGAGTGCAAGCCAAAAGAGCCGCTGAGGGTGAACGTGCTCTTCAAGCACATCCAGCAGATGCTGTCCGGCAACACCGCCGTCATCGCCGAGACTGGCGACTCGTGGTTCAACTGCCAGAAACTGAAGTTGCCGGAAGGCTGCGGGTAGGCGCTTTCGATCCCCTGACAGATGAATCCCTTCCTCGGGGAAGAACTAACTCGGCTTTTGCTCCTCAGGTACGAGTTCCAGATGCAGTACGGATCCATCGGTTGGTCTGTGGGGGCGACGCTGGGGTACGCGCAGGCTGTGAAGAACAGGAAGCGTGTGATCGCCTGCATCGGTGATGGAAGCTTTCAGGTGCCGCTTCTGATCCTAATGCCCTCGTATGGCGAGTACTGAATCAGCGGATTCTGATCCGCTAACCTCTGCGTGGACTGCAGGTGACAGCGCAGGACGTGTCGACGATGCTGCGGTGCGAGCAGAACAGCATCATCTTCCTCATCAACAACGGCGGGTACACCATCGAGGTGGAGATCCACGACGGACCTTACAATGTCATCAAGAACTGGAACTACGCCGGCCTGGTGGACGCCATCCACAACGGCGAGGGCAAGTGCTGGACGACGAGGGTGAGCACAGCACTCCGTACTCGGACGGCAGAGCGTTCGCCGTATCTCCAAACGTATTCATCGATCTGAACTGCGTGTGTGCAGGTCCGGTACGAGGAGGAGCTCAAGGAAGCGATCGCGACGGCGGCGGGGGCCAAGCAGGACTGCCTGTGCTTCATAGAGGTCATCGTGCACAAGGATGATACCAGCAAAGAGCTGCTGGAGTGGGGCTCCAGGGTTTGTTCTGCCAACAGCAGGGCACCAAATCCCCAGTAGCAGTGATCGATCCCAGCGTCATCTTCTTCTTTATCTTGATCTGTAATCTGTCATCTTCTCATGTTCTTGGTGTATTTGTCACGATGCATGTCATGAGACTACTTTTAATCTTCTAATACGATAATAATCATCTGTTCCTACATAAATAGACTTAATCCAAAACATTCTCTCGAATATAACATTATATTCTTTCAAAGATGAGGAAGCTAAGATCGAGAATCCGAATCTCAAGAAAGGGAACAGCCCAGTAGACTGCCAAGTTCTCAACAGGGGACCTTTTCTTCTTGGAGCTTATTCTGGAATTGATGGTCAAAAGGACATCTTTGATGGACTTGCTGGTAAAGAAGGGGCAAACCATAGCATATTAATCAGTCTAGCTATATCCAAAATAATATTTTAGGTACTTACTCATGTAGAGTATGGCATACTCATGGCATCTTTACTGCCGCTTTTGCGTGCATAGGATTCCGACCGAATCCAACCAAGCAACACTGCCATCGAACATTCGCGGTGTTGGCAAATGCCTACGGGATCGCTTCGATCGACATATGAGCATTGGATTCCACCTCCGATCCACTAGCCACAGCGTTGGATTGATCTCAGATTAACCTCAAAATGTCTGGAAGCAAACAGGAATTATTCCACATGATTTCGAATGAGAATTCACAAAAAAAATCCACTAGCCAAAGAGTTACAGTGTTTTCTATTATACTGAAAAAAATACATAATTTAGTAAAAAATTAAGATTAAAAATCGATTTATAAGCATGAGTAGATGACTGATAGTTTTTTTGAGTATTTTGAAAAGATAAATGAAATAGTTAAAGTGTTAGAAAAATACTATAAAGAGTCATTTAGAGCTTTTTTTAGTATTAATAATACTCTTATTATTCATAATCTATTTTTAAAATTTAATAAATAATATTTTATTATTTATAACATTTATAATTTTGATCTTATCCTTTTTTTTTTTCCTTCCACACATACGCTCCCCGATGCACCTTGTAATCGATCGTCGCCCCTAACTTATACCTTAATCGCTCCTCATAATTCATAATCATCATCCCTTAGCTTGCATTTAGGTCTTGCTTTACTTACACTATCCTTAAGAAGAAGAAGAAAAAAGAAAGGAGAAAAAAGAAGAATAAAATCTATTTATGAAAAAGATAATTTTAAAATATTAAAAAATTATAAAAATAAGATTATAATAAGTAAAGATAAGGTTATCTATAGTAACCTCTTAGAGGAGTGTTTTTTTTGGGGAAAGTCCATCTATTTTATTTTAAATATGTATTATATATATATATATATTAATTTTACTAGTATATTATATTTTTTTACATCACAAGAAGAAGAATATTTTTATTGTTTTATTTTTAATTTTAATTGTTTTAAATCCGATTCGAGAATCGCGGAGGTGCGGTGCCGACGCCATCGGGCATCTTATTCGTTTTCTGGCTCTTCCACGTCTTGTACCACCGGAATGTGCGCCTCCCTCGTCTCCCCTGCTTTCTCGGGCGTCTATAAATACATCTGCGCTTCGCTACCTTTTCTCCTCTTCTAAACACCAAACCCCTCACTCGGTTGCCTCTCGCTCTCTCCTCGCTCCTCTGGTTTTAGGGTTTTGGTGAAGCCGAAACGAGACTTGGAAGGCGAGATTCCGAGGAAATTACATGGACGCCTACGCCCTCCATCTCGCCGTCGCGGCGCTCGTAGGCGCATCCTTCGTCGCCGTCTCTGCCTACTACGTGCACCGCAAAACCCTCGGCCAGCTCCTCGAGTTCGCCCGCGCCGTCGAGAAGGAACGCGGCCGTGATCGCCGTGGCGATGACGATGATGAGCCCAAGCGGGGCCTGCTGAGGCGGGGCCGGTACGGGTACCGGCGAAGTGGGTCCGGGTCTGACCGACGCGGCTGGGGGTCGGCGTCGCTGCCGGACGTGATGGCGGCGACGGCGCTGGACGGGGAGGAGGTGGAGGAGGAGGAGGAGGAAGAAGAAGAGGCAGCGGCAGCGGAGTTAGACCCACGGGGCTTTCCGATTCCTGTGGGGCTGCCTCGCCTGCAAACCGTCCCGGAAGGTACTTATGGATCACTGTTCTCTGTTTTCTCTCCGGAGTGAGGGGATATCATCTTTCACACTTAGAAAAACTGTTGTTTTATGTACGCGATGAATCATCTGAGGCTTACTGTGTCAAACTCATTGGTTAGAACGATGTTAATTAGACTTGTGATTAATAGTACGTGCTTTTGTAACGATATTAGTAAGTAATTTGGTGACTCTGGTGATGTAGCTAATCAAGAAGTTTAAATTTGTCAAGGAAACTGCAAACATGCAATCCATAAGACATAAATATCAGCTGTTTATTTGGGTTCTCTTTTCTTTCTTTCCGTTGTGTGTTTGTGGAATAAATGAGTATCCATTATTCGACCTGAAGTTTCTGCCTATATAATATCTCAACACTCTAGTGATGCTACTGTTATTGGCCACAATTTGTGGCCATCCTTTGGAATGGAGAACGCCTCTCTAACTCTTGCATCCATATCTCCTTGGGCATTTTCTGTTCTTGTTTTTTGATCCTTAAGTAGGACTTTGAGCCCACCATAGGCTGGTGTAGCATACCCAATTAAAATTTTTGGCTTTAATGGTATATGATTACTAAGTTGGGTTTTGTTGTGCCTGGATGCATATGGCCAAAAGTACAAACACGTAGAATAAAGTAGGGCAATTAACTCCTCAAAGCCATCAATCCTGATCTTTTGATGTTCCTTTTCTTTTTTTTTATTGATTTATTCAAATATCTTCTTATTATTTGGCCTCTGTTTTCTTGTTTGATTTGTATCAGGACTTCCATCCATTTAAATATGTTAGCAATTTGTTATTTTGGTTTCTTTCTGGGGGAGAAATTTTGCATGAGATTACCTATGTGACCTTTTTCTGTTGTATGGGTTTAATGGCAAACCAATTGTGATGCATCAGGTAATGTGCAGTCTCTTCATGGAATCTCAAATAAAAGAGGTGGACATGGTATCAGGTCAACTTCTAAATCACCTGTTGCTAGTGCTAGTGCCTTCGGGAGCCAAGAGGGATCAGAGGAAGAAGACAATCTGCCAAATGATAGTAAACTTGACAATGCCTACTTGCATGCAAATGGAATTATAGTGAGTTCATTCATGTATTCATTGTTGTAATGATTATGTCTTTTAGTAGTTATTTTTTATTGTAGTCATGTTTCTTTTAGTTTGCTTTTACATTTCCAATAAATGTTGATATTACTCAACATGATTCCGTACTCAAATATAAAAAGAATATTTGACAAAAACACTCACTCGGAGTGAATTGTTGTCAGGTACTTTTCACAAAGAACACACTGTTTATAAATCTAAGAGACTTATCTGATTAAGATGGTCAAGCTATGTGCCTATCATGTAGCATCTGGGGACTGGAAAAGCACATGGAACCTGCCTATTCCTTTCACGTGCCTGAGCATGCACCAAGGTTTACACATGAGCGCGTACATGGGTATATTGCCAAGTACATTGTCATCATGTTGCTAGAACAAGTAATCAGGGGGTCCATGTTTTATAACTAAGGTTAAAAAACTACAGAATTTCTGTGTTTCTGCCTTCTCATTGTGATTTTTGACATGATTTCCTAGAGACTTTCATTTGAGACTTGTATTTTAGACTTGGTGGAAGCTACAAATATTTCTTCAGAGGTTTTATAATACAGTTTTAAGGCCAACTAACATGTACAAAAGCAGTGTAGCTGAGATGATGATATGAGGTGGATGTAAATACTATGTAATGCTTGAAAAGATAGAATAAGAAATGTTTCTATTTATGGACAATTAGGTAAAGTCTTGATAGAATATAAAATGAGGGGAATCAATCCATTTCAAATATTATGGACATGTTCAAAGTAAGACAGTTGATATCGTGATTAAACAAGGTAAGTTAAGACCATTGGTATGAGGAGAGGTAGCCAGTGATAAGAAACTTTAGTATAAATAATAAAAAAAGATATGAACGTTGTTGATTTTGGGGATATTTCTTTACTTAAGACACAGTTGTCACGGACTTAGTTGGTTTTGCCTAAGTCGTGCGACACCCTTGCGTGTCCATCCGCAAAGGTCAGCCTCCCCGAAGTCTCCCACGGTCCCTTAGGACCCACAAAAGAGAGAACGGGTTAGAGAAAACGCCTCATTCGGGATCCACAAGCAAACGTTCCAGGAAACACTTCATAGACAATGCAAATTACAAACAAACTTTACAAGCTCTGAACAGTTGCACAACAAAGGGTTAAAATGGTCCATTACAGACCAAAAATCTCTCACAAGTGTCCACATGACACAACCTTTATTTACAAGCTTAAAGCGGCCACGAACCCTACTAAAATGGGACTATTAAGCCTTCGGCCATCCCTCTACATGTTGTACAAAGCATGAACATACCAAAAGACACGGACATACATAAGCATTACATCAAACATCCTGTTTCGAAATTTGTCCGTGACACAGTGGCGGGAAAAGATTCATGTAGTCTGACCTCAAATAGCCGTGACATCATTATGCAAAAGATCCATATATTGTTTTTGCAGTAAGAATTCTGTCTGTTTGTATTACTATACATTGCAGGCTTTTCTTAAGTTTACCCCTTGTTTTCTTGGTTCCAGACTACTGGTTTTCTGGTGTCTATTCCTTAGGACTACTTTTCATGCTTACTTCATGACCTATCTTTCTCGGTTTTACTTCTTTGGTGCATTTTACGGTTTATATTTTTTTCAAATATATGGATTTTTCTGATCCTTGTTCCATAAGTCCTGTTAGACCTTGTGTTAAATTAACTTTTTTTTTGTTCTTATCATACATGTCTTTACTTGCTACAAAGTTAGCATTTCAATGGCACTTTACTAGTGCTGTCACAATTTTGTGACTTCTGATTCATGCTTTCCCTTAATGTGGTTGTGATATATATATATAGTGTTTTTCAGTATATTTCTTGATTTTTTAAAGTCAACACTTGTTTTTTTGTTGTCCAAATTCTGTGATATCCTATTTATAACTCTCTTACAATATGTTTTCAGTTTCTTTTTGCTGTAATGCTGGGTGATCTCTGATTGTATTTTTAATGTGTTGTGAAAAGGGGGAAG